TCTTAATGATTTCTCTCCTCTTTAGGATAGTATAAATTATCTCCAGAAAATATATTTAATTTATTTACAAAATTAATATCCATCAGAATTCTGTTTTTCCAAGGGTATTTTTTTTTTTCTATAATGCTTCAAACCACAGAAAACCTATATATCTATATATGGAACATATTAAGAGTAATGTGAAGCATAATGATGCAACCACCTACAGATAGTGAAGAGCATTAACATAATACTTTTAAAAATACCAACTGAAAATCTGCTTTGCATAAGCCAAAAATAGTTAGCTACATGCTGCTAGAGTATAAATGTTTTAAAAGGAAGTGATAAAGATATCTTTATTTAGTTCTATTTTATACAACATGCAATCTGGTTGTAAAGAAACATTTACTGTCTAGTTTACACTTTGTGGTTCATAATAACAACACTTACACAAAATCATTAGCTAATGAAAATGTGTCTTATCTTGTAAGTATTTTGAATAAGAATATGTTCTCAACATTGTTTTTTGGTATTCTTGCTTTTTTCTTTTTGCTCATTATTTTCATTTTTTATTTAATTAATTAAAACAATTTTTAAGTTCGGGAGATACGTGTGCAGGTCTGTTACATGAGTTTATTGTGTAATGATGAGGTTTCCTTCTAGTGAACCCATCACCCAAATAGTGAACATAGTACATGATAGGGAGGTTTTTGAATCATTTCTCCTCCCTCTCTCTCACCTTTTGTAGTCACCAGTGTCTATTTCATCTTTGTGTCTATGTATACGCATCCCATTTTTTATCATTCACTTATCAGTGAGAACATGTAGTATTTGATTTTCTGCTTCTCGGTTATTTTACTTAGGAATAGTCTCCAGTTTCGTTCATGTTGCAGCAAAGGGCATGATTTCATTCTTTTTTATAGTTGCATGGTATTCTGTGGTGCATACAAGCCGCATTTTTTATCTAGTCAACCACTGATGGATATTTAGTTTAGTTTCATGACTTTGCTATTGTGAATAGCGCTGCAATAAACACACAAGTACAGGTATCTGTTTGATAAAACAATGTATTTTTCTTTGGGTAAATACCCAGTAATAGGATTACTAGGTCAAATGGTAGTGGTTGTCCTATGTTTAGTCCTTTGAAAAATCTGCATATTGTTTTCCATATGACTAAACTAATTTACATTCCCACCAACAGTGTATGAACATTCTATTTTCTCTGCATCCTTGCCAACATTTGTTAGTTTTTGACTTTTTATAATAATCATTCTGACTGGTGTGAGATGATATCTCATTGTGGTTTTAATTTGCGTTTCTTTGAGAATTAGTGATGTTGATGATTTATACACATGTTTATTGACCATGCATATGACTTCTTTTGCGAAATTTCTATGTTCTTTGCCCACTTTTTGATGGGTTTTTTTGTGTTTTTCTGTTGTCGTTGATTTGCTTAAGTTCTTTGTATAATCTGAATATTAGTCCCTTGTCAGATGCATAGTTAGAAAATACCTTTCTGCCATTTTGTAGGTTGACTGTTTACTTTTCTGATCATTTGTTTTGCTATGCAGAAGCTCTTTAGTTTAAGCCCCAGTGACATATTTTTTTGTTTTTATTGCATTTGCTTTTGAAGTCTTAATCATAAATTCTTAGCCTAAGCCAGTGTCCAGAATAATAATAATTTTTCTTAGATTTTCTTTTAGTATTTTTATACTTTCAGGTATTACATTTAAGTTTTTAATCTATTTTGAGTTAATTTTTGTACGTAATGAGATATAGTGGTCCAGTTTCACTCTTCTGCATATGCCTACCCAGTTTTCCTAGCACCATTTATTGAATAGAACGTCCTTTCCCCATCTTTTATTTTTGACAACTTTGTCAAAGATCAGTTTCTTTTATGTATGTGGCTTTATTTATGGGTTCCTTATTCTATTCCATTGATCTGTGTGTGTATTTCTGTACCAGTACCATGCTTCGTTGGTTACTATAGCCCTGTAATATAGTTTGAAGTCAGGTAACAAGATGCTTCCAGTTTTGTTGTTGTTGTTGTTTTGTTTGTTTAGTTAGGATTGCTTTGGCTGTTCAGGCTATTTTTGTTTTTCTATGAATTTTAAAATAGTTTTTTTTTCCAATTCTCTAAAAAATAACATTGGTAAATTTAAAGAAATTGTGTTGAATCGGTAGATTGATTTAGGCAGTATAGTCATGTAAATGACATTGATTTTTCTTATCCATGAGATCGGGATGTTTTTACATTTGTCTCTGTTATCTATAATTTCTTTCATCAGTGTTTTGTAGTTCTCCTGTAATACTCCTGTAGCAGTCTTTCATTGCCTTGGTTAAATGTATTGCCAAATATATTTTGTTTATATAGCTATTGTAATTGGGATTTAGTTCTTGATTTGGTTTCAGTTTGAGTGTTGGTGTATAGAAATACAACTAATTCTCGTATGTTAATTTTGCATCCTGGACCTTTAATAAACTTGTTTATCAAATCTAGGAGTATTTTGCAGGACTGTTTAGGGTTTTCTATGTATAAGATTATGTCATCAGCAATCAGAGATAATTTGGCTTCTTTTTTTCCAATTTAGATGCCATTTTTTCTTTCTTTTGCCTGATTGCTCTGGCTAGGGCTTCCAGTATTATGTCGAATAGCAGTAGTGAAAGTGGACATCTTTGTCTTGTTTCAGTTCCTAGGGGAAATATTTTCAACTTTTCCACATGTGGTATAACACTGGCTGTGCGTTTATCATATACGGCTCTTATTATTTTGAAGTATGTGCCTTAAATGCCTAGTGTGTTGAGGCCTTTAGTTATAAACGGATATTGGGTTTTGTCAAATGCTTTATCTGCCTCTATTGAGATGACCATATGGTTTTTGTTTTTAATTCTGTTTATGTGGTTAATAAGATTTATTGATTTGAGTATTTTGAACTATCCTTTCATCTCCGCGATGAAACACACTTGATCAAGATTAATTATATTTTGTTGTGTTTCTGGATTCATTTGGCTAGTATTTTATGGAGGATTTTTATCTACATGTTCATTAGGGATATTGGCCTGTAATTTGTTGTCATTGTTGTTTGTGTCCTTATTGAATCTTGCTATCAGGCTGATACTGATTTTGTAAAATGAGTTAGGAAGAAATTCTTCTTTCTTGACTTTTTGGAATAGTTTCAGTAAGATTGATTGGTACCAGCTCTTCTTTATCTGGTAGAATTTGACTGTGAATCTGCTTGGTTCTATTTTCTCTTTTGGTAGAAATTTTATTACTAATTCAATTTCATACCTCATTATTTTCCTGTAGAGAATTTCAACTTCTTCCTAGTTCAATGTTGAGAAATTGTATATTTCCAGGAATGTTTGCATTTCCCTTAGGTTTTCAAGTTTGTGTGCATATTTATGTTCATAGCAGTCTCTAAGAAGTTTTTGTATTTCTGTAACATTATTCATAATGTGATCTTCATTATTTCTTATTGTGCTTATTTGGAACTTCTGTCTTGGTTTGCTGGTTTATAACTAGTCTTCTATTAGTTTTGTTTATCCTTTCAAAGAACCACCTTTTCATTTTGTTGTTCCTTTGTATAATTTTTTGGTCTCAATTTAATTTAGTTCTGTTCTGATCTCTCTCTCTCTTTTTTTTTTTTTTTTTTTTTTTTTTAGTTCCTTTGGGTGTGACACTAGGTTGTTAAGATCTTTATTTTTTTATGTAGGCATTTAGTGCTATAAACTTTCCTCTTAATACTGTTTTTGCTGTATTCCAGAAGTTTTAGTATGTTATTTCTGTTTCCATCTACTTAATTTTTTATTTCTGCCTTTATTTTATTGCTTACACAAAAGTTATTCGGAATGAATTTATTTAGTTTCCATGTTCATGTGTGGTTTTGAGAGTTTCCATCAGTATTGATTTCTAATTTTATTTCACTGTGATCTGAAAAGGTGCTTGATATGATTGAGATTTTTAAAAAATTATTGGGACTTTATTTACGATCAAGCATATGATCAATTTTAGAAAATATTCCACGCTCAGATGAGAAAAATGTGTATTTTTTTATTGAATGTAATTTTGTGTAGATGTGTATTGGTTCTATTGTTCAGGAGTCCAATTTAATTCCAGAGTTTCTTCGTTAGTTTTCTGCCTCAGTGATCTGTCAGTAGGGCTTTAAAGCTCCCTACTAGTATTATATGAATGCCTGTCTCTTTCCTGGGTCTACTAATATTTGTTTTATTAACCTGTGTTCTCTGGTGTTGGGTGTGTATATGTTTTGAATAATTAAATCTTCTTGTTTAATTGAGACCTTTAGCATTATATAATGTCCTTCTTTGTCTTTTTCTATTTTACTATTGTTTTAAAGTCTATTTTATCTGATACAAGAATATCCACCCTTGCCTCTTTTTTATTTTTCATTTGTGTGATATATCTTTTTCTACTCCTTTATTATGAGTTTGTGGGTGTCATTACACGTTTGGTGGGTTTTTGAAGGCAGCAGATGGTTGGGTCATCTTTAAATCCAATTTGACAATCTGTAGCTTTTAAGTGGAGTATTTAGGCCATTTATGTTAAAAGTTAATATTGATATGTGAGGTTTCGTTCCTGTCATAATGTTTCTGACTAGGTACAGTGTAGTCTCAATTGTGTAACTGCTTTAGAGGGCCTGTGGATTTTGTCTGTAAGTGTGCTTTCATGGTAGCAAGTATTGTCTTTTTTTCCACGTTTAAAACTCCTTTGAGCATTTCTTACATGATTGGTCTGGTGATGATGAATTCCCTTAGCATATGCTTATCTGGGAAATTTTTAATTTCTTCTTTATGAAGCTTAGTTTGGCAAGATATGCAATTCTTGGTTGACATTTATTTTTCTTAAGAAGTCTAAAAATAGGCCCCCAGTCTCATCTGGCTTGTAAAGTTTCTCCTGGGAAGTCTGCTCTTAACTCTGTTATGATTTCCTTTATAGGAAATTAGATCCTTTTCTCTAGCTGTTTTTAAGATTTTTTTTTTCCTTAGCATAGACCTTAGATAGTACAAATATGGAATCTTTCATAAATTTGCATGTCATCTTTGCCAGGGGCATTCTAATCTTCTCTGTATTGTTCTAATTTTTGTATAAGTGCTTCTGAAATGAGCACCTCTTATTTATTTTTATGAGAAACTTAAATATGTCATAACACAGATGTATTTGCTATACCCTAATAATTAACTTTTAATTGTATTGATAAATATATGTAACTTTGGTTCACACAGATGTGTTTGTTTAGTTTGGTCAACTTATTGACCAATGGAAAGCATGATGTTCAGATATTGTTACAGTTGTAATGTCAATTCACACATGATAAAAAAAATTCATGATTAATAATTTCCCTATTTCTCTCACAGAAAAGAATATAAGAAATCAAATATTTACAAACATCAGGTATTTCTAGACACTATCCTTTATATATATTGTCCAATATAAGCTTCAAAGCAAACTTATCATGTTGTTTTTTTTTTATTTTCCTGCTTTCTCATAGGAGGAAATTGGGGGACAGAGTAAATAACATTTCCAATTTGATACAAACTGACTCCACCATCCATTTTCTTCACAATTTATCTCACTGACTCCCATTACGTAGATCACTGTAGGCAGGACCATTGTGAATTTTTAATGCTTCTTTCTCAAAACAAATTACACTTTCATGTGTCATTTTCAAATTTTTTTCTTTATCATTTTAGAGAAAAGAAACAGTATTATTAATATTATGCTGCTGTGTTTGTGTGTAGTTTCTAGAAATTATCTACTACTACCATCTCTTCACTTGCAAATCAGACCTCTTTCTCCGTAATTTCTCCCTTTACTGTAAGACATTAAAATGTTTAACATATAGAAGAATTTAAAATGTAGAAACATTTAAGAAATGGACAGGCAAGGAAGCCTCAAATTTTGTTACATTTATCTTTATTATGGGCAATTTCCACATATGTGATTTCTAATAGAACATTATTTTTACTTTTCTCAATGACCTAAAATTTATCTACATTAAATCTATCATATTTTAAATTTGTCTTTCAGTGCAGGAAATAGTAATATAATTTTAATAGGGTTGATAAAATAATATTAGCACCATAAAGCAATCTAACCAAAAACCACAGAAGCCACATGATTTTTATTTGATCATTATACCAGCTTATTTAAAAAATCAGAGAAGAATAGTCATTATGTGATATTTCAAAGTGAATGACTTGATTAATATCAGAGAATGTCATTGCAAGTATCTTAATCTTATATTTTGTGCTCTTATTAAAATGCCATTTTCTGAAAAAGTTTTCTATCTTATATATTCTTTGGGAATGAGAAACAGAGAAAAGGAATGACTGTTTAAAGGAAAATAAGGTACAAATTATAATAGAGTTTGAAGATAAAATAAACATTCTATAATTAACCTAATAATTATTGTGAGCCAGAGTAAAATCCACATATACCAGCCAGACTAGGATGTTTTGATCTTATTTAGGCATCTTTTTTAAATTCAATCCTCACATAGTGAGAACCCACTTGGACCACTGGCTGTAACTGATGAAACCACATTTATTACCACGACAGATTTCTCATGCCTGCTTATCTTGGCCCATGTTCTCAATTCTGTACTGGGTGGACAATCAAAATTCTTCATTAGTTTATTCATTGCTGATAATGGTTGAACTCTTGCCCTGGCCCTGAAAAGAAGTGCAATGTGTTCCAAATATCTTATTATTTAGCATCCATAGCAGCCATTGTGTAGCCTGAATCCAAAACTACACTTCATATAACGCATGCAATAGAAGTAGCTAGAAAACTTTATTCCAGTGATAATTATAGCTAACATTTTATATTGAGTAATTATTGTATGCAAGGCATTATTTTAAGTGCTTCATAAAAACATAATTACATTTAATCTTCACAACAATTCCAGGAGGTAGGTATAATTATCCTCCATTTACTAACGAAAAATCTGAGACCTAAAATGCTTGAATACCTAGTAAATGGTAGAACTATACTTCAATCCTAGATTTTTGACTGTAGAGATTTAGCTTTTAGCCATTATGCTACATCATCTCCTTTTAAAGTTATTTCAATATAGACTGGGACATATCATATTTGTAACTTCCATAGGACTAAGTAAACAAAGTGTTCCAGGGTCTTGTTCTTCAAAAGGTTACACTAAATGTAGTGAAAATTTTCATATTAGTTGAGAAAAAATAAGGCATTAATCAAAACATTAGTCAAAACTATATGTATTTGAAAGAGTTTTTACAGTGGTTGCTTAGAATACCAACAATAAGAGTAAAGTATAATAATCCATATAGCTCTTTCTGTATATCAGTGTAATTTCATTTGTATTCATTTTTTAATCTTGCAAAGATTGTGGAAACAGGAAATAACAGTCATGTAAGTGGTGAACATATTCAAATACTGGAAACAACATTAAAAATTCAACTGATTAAAAAATTTCATCATAACATTGTAATTTTTATGGAGGATATCCTCATAATATATATTTCTTTATTATTTGATTTTTAAAGACTTGCTAAGTTAATTGAGATGTGTACTTTTCCACGAAAGTATCATAACTGTTTCTCTGATTTAACTCTGTTTTTTTAGTACAATTTTTTTTGTTTTGTAAAGTTATGTAATTGTGTATTATAAACTTTAAACAACACATTTAATTTCATACAAAGCTTTCATAATATTCTATAGTTCAAGCTGCAATTATATGTTACAACATTACTCTAAAAAAATTCAAGCATTCACTTAGAATTCTGATAGTTGATTTTGAATTCTGCAGGATTGTTTTAATGTAAGAGATTTTTCGGAGGTAAGAAAATAAAGTCATTATTATATGAGCCATGAAAAAAGACTAGATAATACCAAATATGAATTGTTAAGTAGACTAAAGTTCAGGAACCTCCAGGGATAATTTGCTAATAATTAAAAATACATACCTTTAGGATAATACAGAAACTAAAAAATCTGAGCCTATCTGAAAAAGACAGCAAACAATCAGAATATTACAGAATATTAAAAAATAATATTATGACATATTAAATGGATACTAAACATTAAAATTCCCAAAGGAAAAAAATAATATCAGATTTTATAGTTCACAATGTAATAAGTACATAAAGCATGTTTACATTTATGCAAATTTGAGACATATGTGTATATAAGCTTGTATGCTTATATATGTATTTAATCATCACTTTATAGTCATTCCTTATATTCCCCCAAATTGAAAAATAAAGAAGTAATAGAATAAACATATTACTTAGAAATATTTAAAAATACCATAATAAAACTTAGAAGAATTGAATATGGTTGAATTTAGGGAGAAGAATTTCAGGGTCAGAAGGGATTGAGCCAAGCAACTGCTAATTCTCATTATAAGTTTTACAGAATTTGCTTTATGTTCAAATTTTGTACATGCATGACTTTAAAAGAACAAAAAGATCAAATTTAAAATATAACTTTCTTTTTTCTCCAGATAACTAATTAGAAGCATTTAGCATGTCTTAGTCACTTGGAGATAACAAGATAGTGCATAAAGATGAACTCTTCTTTGAGAAGAAAAAAATGGGAATCCACCAGAATCATAAAGGATACCACAGATCCCAAGAAGAACACTAGTAAACAGCCCCTGTGATGGTGTCTGGCTGATACAAGTGAGTGAAGCCCCAGTATGTGAGAGAGAGAGAGCCTCCCTCTGTGACTCACCTTTTCCCTAGACATTTGAGCAACCAAGGCTGAAGGACAGCATTTTGTTTCTCCCAAGCCCTGGCAACAACTTGAGGATAGACTTGGAGATACTGTGAGGAAAAGACACAAGAAAAAGCTGCAGATATTTTCTCAAACGTGGGGCTGAGAGCAGGATGCCACTTTCAATCAAGGTGCATAAATAGCCATTCTTTGGTGATCCAGAAACATGGCCATGCAGGCATTTTAGTTTCAGGACAAAGACTGGAGTTCTCTCTCTGGAGTGGAGTAAGGGCCTTCATAGCCAGAGCTACAGAAAGCAGCTCAGCAGTAGGTGGTGGAATTATGCTCTCGCTAGTCACAATCCTGGGGCAGGAGGAGAGCTGCTACAGCTGCAGTTTCTCCTGGATGGAAAGGACTGAAGGCAGGGCCAGCTTGGTGACCTAGAACTAGTCCATATGTGCCACTGCTGCGTGCCCCAGCCTGCCCTCCTGACATCTTGTGTAGCAAGGCCCTCTTTGCTCCAGCTCCAGACAGAAATCTAGGCGTTTGGAGCACCCTCTTGTCTGGTTCAGCAGCCAAGATGCATCCTGCTCTTAGTCCCTACTCTTTGTGAATACAGATTGTGGAGCAGCAAGGACCTGTTTGCTCCACTAACCAAGCAGATATTCAGGCATTTGGAACATCAGCTCAGCTGGATCAGCAGCCTGAGCTTCTCCATCCTTCCTGTGCAGAGATCCTGGTGCAGGTGGGAGTTGGGATTGGGTGGGACTCACTTTTACAAGCTCAGGCAGATTTCCAGGAATCCAGAGCACCTGCTAGTCTGGTTCAGCAGCCTGAGTTGCCCCACTTCTCCTGTGCAGACATCTTGGTGCAGGGAACTCACTCTACTTCAAGCCAAGGAAGACTTCTTGGTATCTGAAGGACCCACTCTCCTGTATTAGGAGATTAGGCCACCTCTCATTACTGTGCAGAGATTTTGGGGCTGAGGAGGTTCCTCAGCTCCATGCCTAGGCACACCTCTGAGTGCCTGGTGGTGACCCATGGGATTTTTCTTCACTGAAAGTGTTTGTGGCTGCCATCAGGGGACCTGTAGGCAGAACTGCCCAGTCTGGTCCCATTTATCACGGTCCCCAAATGCAGGGCTCTGCAGAGAGCTCAGTTCACTAACCATTCTAGGAATCAGCCAATTGCCTGAGGTAACAGGGAGCTTCTGCCAGTAAACGATAATGTATACTGAGCTGTGTTGGGTGCAGCAAGCTGTTACCTCTATAAGCACCCTCTGCTGGCTTGTACATTGAACTGCACAGACCAATATAAAACCTGCCAAAAGAAGTGCATGGGGCTATAGAGGCAAAGTCAAAGGACACTATCCAACATTCTCTACAGTTGTACCCATAGGGAGGGGAGAAAGGGGAATGG